CGGGAGGTTTGTGCGCGGGGCGCGGCCCGGCCAGACGGAGTGCTGGATCCGGGCGCCCAGGCGCACAACCCACTCGCCCACCCGCGACCGCCGCCACGGCGCCCTGGACCCCGGAGACGCCGGGCCGTGTTCCTCGCTCCAGGGATCGCCCCGGCGAGGCCGTCTCTCCTCACCGCCTTCCCCGCGCCCCGCGTCGCTCCTCCCCCGGCCACTGCCGGCCGCAGCGCGCTTCCGCGGGGCGGGGCGATAGGTCGTCTCTCGGTTTGCGGACCTTGGACGCCGCCTGCCTGTGGGCGGGAGGTCCTGCTCGGTGTAGCCCGGCCTGGAAAGAGCACATTTTAAAGCTGTTTTTCCAGGTTGCTCTAGAACAGTGCTAATCATATTGAGCTATAGTGTACCCCAGTAACATAATCTTGTCTCCAGTTTTAATGGACGGCCCGTGTAGATTAATTTCACTGGGGCAGCGCTTAGTTCTCACCCTTACTAGCTGCGTGCAAGGCAGAATAATGCCCCCCCACCAGGTGTTTACATCCTACTCTGAAATCGGTGCATTTATTCCCTTACGTAGTAAAGGAACATTAATACTGCGTCTGGAACTAAGGTTTATGAGAAAGTTAAAATCAAAGGACAAAGGTTAACACACTTCAAACTATTAGGTGGAGAGGACATGAGGTAGAAGGCTTCAGTCACGTCTGCCTCAGGGAACTTTTGACCTAGTGCAGGCGTACATCCCTTTTGCAGTAGGCGCTGACACTCAGGCAGGCAAATTCTCGACTGGTTACTTCCTGACTTTGCATCCTGAGAGATATAATTTTTTATTAAAATGGAATACAGTGATCCCTCATCTATCTCGGGTGTTACATTCCAGAGGCCTCAGCGATAGGTGAAAAGTATTTTTTAAAAAATATTTTAAACCCGGGGATATAGCTCAGCGGCACAGCACCTGCCTGGCAAGTGTAAGGTCGTGAGTTCGATTCCTGGTATCCCCCCAAAATAAATAAATAAATAAATATATTTTTAAAATATTTTAAATATAACGCCAAGTAGTGGTGTTATATTTAATTATTTACATATATTTTAAGGCTTTATAAACCTTTCCCACACTCCTATAAACACTTCATATGCTGTGAAATACAAGGAGAGACGCTGAATGTGTGGGCACAGTGTGGGACCGCAAACAGGTGCTATGGTCACTAAGCCAATCAGCGCCCGGGATAGAAAACACACTGCTGTGCTTGGTCGCCTTCCATTCCATCAGCCAATAGTGTGTTGTGTACAATCTCATGTTGGCAAACTTGCATAAGTTGTAGTGGCATACTGCATTTCCATTGTGTAGAGTATGGTATTCATCTGCTGATGAAATACATACTATTTTATTTCGATTTCATAGTCTTTTAATATCTTTGAATTAACATTTTTATATTGCAAATTTTTAAGCAAAAATAATTAAAATCATATATAAATATATACCACAAAATCCCATGATATAGTGAAAACTCGGAGATACAAAATTAGATATATTTTTTAAACCCAAGATACAGCGAAGCCACAATAAGTGAACCGCAATATAGTGAGGGATGACTGTATTCCAATCCTACGTTTGTGTAAACTTCTCCAAGAAATAGGAAAGTAACTTCTTCCTTGGGAATAAGGTTTATTAGGGCTTACTTGCAGAGCAGTGGATGATTTGCAGCTGCAAGATGGCTGCAAGGAAGTAGTCAAATCCCGTGTTAGGCTTCTGGTTTTCCTAGAGCATTAATAAAGAGCATAACACTGGGTCCAGCAGACCTATCCCTTACTTTTCTACTATAAATTTGTACTTTAGCTAATAGTACCCAGGTGTGAATCTCAGTACATTACCCTGAGGGATACAGGAAGCAACCTATGTGTTTACCCACTTGGTATGATGAACGTCAAGGTGTACATGCACAAAAGTGGCAAAATGGGAAAATTCTTCTATATTTTGCACTTATTATTTTTTTTGTAAACTGTTAAACTATGGCACACATTTGGGATCAAGTAAAATAACCACTGGTCAATGCTTTTGTTTCAAGTGACATCATAGTTGCTGCATAGCTCATCAACATCTTATGCTCCAGCTAACTTGATTTGCATATGTGTACCTGAGCATCACAGAGGGTCTAATAAACCCACACCACTTCTGGATTTATTAAAAAGATTTTTTTCTTTTAATTTTCCTGGTAGAAGTGGCCCAATTCAGTACAATGGCACAGATTTGCAAGTTGTTGAAGAGGCCAAAAGTGAATCATCGAATTACTCACTCATGCACGATGAAGATAATCTATTAGGGGAAAATACACGCTTTCATAACAGGTGATGTGGGTATATGATGATGATGATGATGATAACTTTAACACTGGCCATGTGAGTCAAAGTTCTTACGACAGCAAAATGGAGCAAGAATTGACCGATACATAGGGAATGCAGACCTCCTTGATTCAAATGACAAAGAAAACAGCAATGTGAGTACATATTTGACTAGTTGAAATGTTGCAAAATGACCATGCAACCAAATGGAATGATCCAATGTATGAACTAGTTCTGAAACTATAGTGAGGGTCTTAGCAGGGGTGAAAGGTATTGGATGGAAAGCCAGAACTGCCATTTAGTGTTGGAAATTATAACAGACAAAATGCTACAAAGTGCTGGGAGATGAACAAAGGCTTAACTGCAAGTAAAATGTTCTGTATGCAACAATAACCATACTCAAAACTGTATTTATTATGATACCTCACTAGCTGAACTGAAAGTATTTACAGGTCTCCTGAACTAAGGAATTTCTCATGGTAATCACAGGAATGTAAAAGACTTATGGAAAAGGAATGGGTCAAAACATGGCATAAAAATGTATGCCCTTGTACATATGAAACTTATTATACTTTCAGTTTAGACATTTATCCTGGAACTCTGCCATCAGGTCCTTATTCATATAGTAATAAACTGAATGATATTGTGAACAGGCTCCCATCTCCCAAACAAATTGGAATATAACATTTGACAACTGGTTTACCAGTGTCTCATTGATGTTACATTTGCTAACAGTGCACAAGTTGACCAGCACACAGACTGAACACAGGAACAAAGCAGAAATTCCAAATGAAATCTGCAATTTCAAAACAGAGAATTGTATAGTACAATTTGTGGGTTTCAGAAAGATAAAACAATGGTCTCATATATGGCAAAGAAAAATAAACTGGTACTGCTGATGTCAACATTTCACCATGATAGAAATACTGATAGAAACCTTGACAACACCGAAGTTTGACATGGAAACTTTCTACAACAAAACCAAGGGTGAAGTAGATGTTGTTGATGAGTTATGCAGCAACTATATGTCACTTGAAACACAAAGCATTGACCAGTAGTTGTTTTACTTGATCCTAAACATGTGTGCCACAGTTTGACAGTTTACAAAGAAAATAACAAGTGCAAAATATCACAGAAAAATTTTCTTAGGATTGGGACTGCAACTCATACGAGATAATTTATAGCAGAGGAAAAGCGTTTCTGCCCAGGCAACTATGCCAGAGAATTGTGAACCACACTGGTGAGCTGACAGGCAAACAGGTAGGCGGCCAGGAGAGTCGTGAAGAGGCCAGGGACAGTTCTTGGCATCATCAGTCTGTGTTGCAGGCTAGGAATCAGTTGCAAACCAGCATGCAAAGTTCATTGGACGAGAGGGACAGAATGACAAAGAAGTGTGTTAACAAGGAGCGCACACAGTCGTCTAACTCAGGGCTTCTCAATCTTAGCACTTAGGACAGAGGGACTGGATAGTTCTTTATTAAGGCAGGTGTGTGGTCATGTGTACCTCTGGCCTCCAACCATTAGATGGCAGCAGTATCCACTACCCCCAGCGGATACAACCAACAATGTATCTGGAATGTGAAAACGTCGGGGGTGGTGGTGGTGGTACAAACTGTAGCTGAGAACTAATAATCTAACTGTATGCTTTGAATTTCAAAAGATGAGAATGCAGGCTGGGAATGTAGCTCTGCAGAGCAATGTTAGCATGCACGGGGCTAGTTATGGCTTGTTATCCACAAAGCCTCGTGCATTCACAGGTGGGGCTTTCGCAAGGTGACTGGATTAGGGCCCATCGCTGGCTTGCTGTTCGATGGGATCTGGTTGGAAGAGGTGGGTCACTGGAGGCATGGCCTGCGGCTATCTCTTCCTCTACCTCCCCTGTTCTCTGCTTCCCACTGTGACTCCAGCAGCTGTTTCTCCTCGACTGCCCTGCCTTGCAGCCAGCTGAATATGGACTGAAACCTCTACAAACTATGATCTAACATAAACCTTTTTTCCTTTAAATTGTGTTTTGGATACTGAGTCTCAGAGATAAGAAAGTAAGACAAGGCCCTTCAGTCCCCAGCACCACAAGTAAATGGCGTCTCATAAAATATTGGTTTGGCAGTGCTGGGAATTAAACCAGGGCTGTGCCTGCGCATGCTCAGCAAGCGTTTGATCACGGAGCCACCCTGCGAGCCCTCATGACCTACTTGCTGAAGGAAAACTCAAATGGGGCTGGAAGTATAGCAAAGAAAAGTGTCAAAAAAAAGAAAGAAAAGAAACAAACGTAACTGGAACATCATTATACAGATATTTTTATTGAATACTGATTAGTTAACATATTAAGAATAAAAGTCCTACTCTTAGAACATAAGAGAATAAATAAAATAAAAATACAAATGGAATGAACATAAGACTAAGTATGTGTTATTTACACTCATATTTTACATACAGTTCTCAAACTGACCTTTTAGTATTCACTTATTGGAAACTGTAGAGTTGATATGCCATGTTAGTATTAGTTCAAACCTTATAAAACAATTTTCCTGGTGGTATTTATTTGTGGGGAGAAAACTTTACTGTATGTCTAAGTGGACATGATTTAACAATGACACTTTTATGTTATACAGAATAAACACTGCTTATTTTAGAAATGCTAAACTACAATGACATTAAATATATAGATCCTTCTTAAACTCTATTAGTTTATAAACTATCAAATGAAGCTATGAAACTTAAAATTTTAACAGTCAATCAAGCTGCAAAGAAAGAAACAAAAGGAAAAAACTCAAAGTTTTGAATATCAACTAAATTTGGCTCCATTTTTTTCTTATACTTAAAGAAATACCTCAGTTAGACATGGGGTATCCAGGTAACAATCCCTTTTTGCAAACTCAGTTATAATCAAGAGACAGAGGCAAAGACAACAGATACACACCATCATAG